GTTATTAATTAAATAAATTAATTTATTTACTATTTTATCTTTTTTTTAGAATAAATTTAATATACAAGATCAGTTATCAAAATATATTCAATCTGAAATAAAATTATTAACTACACCATGTATCATTTTGGAGACAGAAAAGTTAGCTTCATTTTCAAAGGCAGTTAGTGCAGCTATGCAAATAGTTAAACAGTATCCTATACATAAATGTGGACATGCAAAACATTCAATTAGTGGTACAAAATGTTTGCAGTCAATGGTTGGCAAAAGTAATTCATCCAGGTACAATCAAAATTTTTATAAATAAAACACAATATATTAGCAATAATATAAATAACATTTCCTATATATTTTGCAGATATATTGTAGCTACACAAGATAGAGAACTTCAGGATAGTTTAAGAAATATTCCAGGAGTCCCAATAATATATTTACATGGTAAAGCACCAACTTTGGAAGCACCTTCACAAGCTAGCTGTAAATATGCTGAAAACGTTCGTAAGGGGTTGGGAATGACTGAATGGGAAAAGGAAACTATGAGAACACTAAAAGAAGCAGCTGGTTTAGCTGAAAATACAGAAATTAAATGTAAAAGAAAGAAGAGAAAGAAAATGAAAATAGCAGCACATGTTAAAGAAGCATTAGTAACTGAAGTAATGAAAAAACAACTAGAAAAAAACAAAATAAATTGAAAATAGATAGCTGTTTAAAGAAATTTATACATGGGCCAAATATTGAAATTTATGCAAATAAACTTCACTTTTATTCATAATACAATTGCCTCTTTTCCAGTTCACAAACTTAATGTGGCCAGAGTTGTACTGCACCATACTTATACAAGATGAGTTAATTCATGGATATAAGGAAGTGTATTAATTTCACTGATAAAATTGTTGTTACTAAATATATAAAGTATTATACAACTATGTTATTTATACTTCACAAAGAACACATTGAAAGTTCGGATGGAAGATTCTCATATTCGTGAAATGTACATTATAAAATGGATCCATCAATTTTTATACAATATTGTATAATCAAAGATCTTTAAATGTATGATTTTAATAATGAATGTGTTGTATAATTATGTATTATATTTCGGAAATATTCTACTCTTCATATTTCTCCATATTATGAAAATAGTACTAATAATTATATTTAACAAGAGTAAGAAAAATAAGTAAATGTAATCACCACTTTCAAGAAAGATGTACAACACTCTTTAAATATATTACATTTTCAGTCTAATATCTAATCGCATAATGAACACGACGTAAATTTGGAACTAGGAACTTTCACATGTAGAAGACATACAAAAACGTAAGGGGCAGATAAGAGTATGCAAACTGCACATTATTTACATTTTTTTTTTAAATTATTACATAAAATAAGAATACTGTAAGTGTACACGTGTTATGTAACATAAAGTAATACATAAATAAAACACGAGTCCTGTTTAAATGTTCACGTGTCGCATTATACAAATTGTTAATAAACAAGGTGCATTGAAGTTTTTCGAAATACTAATATATACGTTATAAAATTTGACATACAACTTATTATTAATTTTAAAGTGTTTATTTTTTCATAGTAAGAAATATAGAATATTTTGTTTTATTACATTATAGTTAGCAATGTATTGGATAACAGAAAATACGAATGAGATAGAGGTAATAAAATAAAATAACATGGAATAGAAATACTTCAAAGTACACGTAAATTTAAACACGAAATCTCTCTTAAGGGAGTCGTTAAAGCTTACAACTTAAACTCTAATTAAAATTTCATTACTACTCCACCTTCATGCGTATGAAAAGTTTAATGTATATTATACAATATGTCATGAAAAGCATTATCGATAAATCAGTACAAAGTCAACGTTTAGGAGAATTAAGAGAGTGTACATTAATTATATGCGAAAATTCTATTTTAAAATTGATTTCACAGAAAAATGATATCAAAAGGAGTAAACAATAGTTAAAAATATATTTTTTCATAAGTAAAAGCTATTATAGAACTTTTTCAATATCAATCGGTAGTACAATGTTGATGATTAATGTAAATAATTAATAATTTTAGTTAATTAAATTGCTTTCATTTTAGTAACTAAAACTTATTTATATCACGCACGTTAATTATATTGTATAATACATTCATGCAATATTTATTTAATATCAAGAAAATAATTTTTTGGTAGACTCTCGAATATTCCGTAAACGTATATACTTTGGAAACAGTAAAATATGGGATTGGATTTGGTAAATTGGATAAAATTGCTAATGATAAATTCATACAATATTTTTTCATATTCTATGTAAATTACTGCCAGTCTTAAACATGAAGATAAGATGGATATTGCTCTCAGATTAAGGTATTTTTTAAACAAAACGTATAAAACCTCATGTCAATGGGCTCTTTCTATTCCATACGTATTTGACATCAAGGATGTTGATTTAAAAGTGCACGTGCAGCCATAGCTAACATTTTCATACGACGAGTAGAACTGTGATTTGGATTGGCGGCTAAAAAAGCAGCCAATTGAGTTTGTAATGTCATTAACACAGTACCCATATGCTCTCGTGTTACTGGATCATTAGGATCTAAGTTAAGTATTGCTTCTTCTAGCCACCTATTAAATAATCAGAAATCATGAAAAGGTTTTGTTTAACAGGAAACTTTTTCTTGAACGGATAGTTCCCATTACCTGTGTTTGAGTTCTGTACGATGTCCTAAATCTGCCGATAATTGTTGTACAAGTGAAAGAATTACAGGCTGTTGTAAAATACACCGCGAGCCTTGACCTTGCGGTCCTATAGAAGAAAATACTCTGGCGGGTTCTGTCTTTTCACAAACTAATACTACCAAACCTAAATCACTAGCACTTAAAGCCTGTTGGAAAGCAGCATTTAACTGTCCCCTTTGAAGAAGAGACATAACTCGTGCTTGAGCATCAGCAACTGCAGGTACTGGTATAGCAGGTGTGGTAGCTCGAGAACTGTAACACATATTAAATTAATTTCATCCTTTAGTAAAAACTGATGTTATTTAAATTTTCCTTACCGAGCGTTTGTAATTTCTGTAAGTTGTTGATTTAAATTGTCTCTAATAGAGTCACGAATTGTACGTATCGTTCCTTCTTGTAGAGCAGTTAAACCTCTATTTAGTTCTGTTTGTAATTCTTCGCGAACTAATGCAGATAGCGCCTCACTTTGTTGCTCGTTTCGTTGTTGATATTGCTTCTCTACAATTGTGTCTACATTCTCAAGATCTATAAAACAAGAAATGTTATATAAAAAAAGAAATGCATATACATATATATATTGGTGCCTTACTTAAAATATATCCAACATCTTACATTCACGAGTACCCCTAACAAAAGCATCTTGTACTTGTCTAAACATAGTTTGACACGCTTTTTCCATGCTGGGTAAAAGAACATTTGTAAAGGCTTCCTTAAATGCAGCATCAAATGCTGGTTTTGTTGCATCTGCTGCTGCCATAGCAAGCGTATCTTTCACATGAGTGTTATTAATTAGTTCTATTAAATTCTCTTTTAGGAGTTCATCCATTTGAGCAGAATCTAATCTAAGTTGGTGCTTTAATGGCTCTACCGTATCTTCAACAATTCTTGGCAAAGTGGTTTCAATTTTTTCTTTGATTGTTGTTTCTAGCGTATTAAAGAAATCGTGTTGGCGAGCCACTTGGCCATATAATGTTTGTTCTAATGTTGCATTCTGTTGTTCTGAAGCTCTTGCTAGAGCAGATTCTACTCGTGTCGAAATCGGCGTTTCTTGCCTTAATCTAGTTACTTCAGTACGTAATTCCCTTAATTCTTGTCGTTGATCTTGAATTATTTCTAAAATTGATTCTACTTTATTTATAAGATCAAGCGTATTTAATTCATTTGTTGCTTGCCAAGTGTTCTCAGCATTTCCTGCAGTATGCGTCGTCGGTTTTGATTCGTCTTTTAACTTTTTTCTCTTCTCTTCTTTGTTTGTAAATCCTCCAGCTTCTTGCATTGCATGTGTGTTCATATCTTTTAAGAAGTCCAGCGGAATATCACGCCAATACTCCTCATCACTGGTAGGTTCTGGCTTACTTTCATTTTCTGGTTCTTCATCTGGTTTTGTAAGAGACAAAATTTCTCTTACTTCTCTGGATGGACTACTACCACTACTAGCAGGTGCTTGTTCCTCTAACTCGCTTGTGGCTAGTGGCGGATCCGTTGCATTTAGAGCTTGTACCGCTTGCGCGAGCGAAGGACTAGCGGATAACACTTTACCCAATTCTGGACTACTAGGACGAGAATCTAAGTCGTTATTTTCTTTTTTGGCGGGTGAACTGAACGCATCAGGTGTCATTAGATTCAACCCAGCATTATGATTCGTTGCTGCTTCAATTGTAGCAGATAACGAACGATCTTCTTCACAATTTTCTCCTGAAATTCCATTGAGATTAACAGTTCCCATATCTGGCAATTCTTCAGAATAGTCCAATGAATCATGAGTCAATGTGTCCATGAGGCAATTACCACTCACTTCTGAGGCAGGCTTAAAAGCAATATGACATTCTTGTAGTGACTTTGGTTGGACTAGATACATCCGAATAACAAGCTGTTCTTCGGATTCTTCTTCGCAAGGACATAAATCTTCTAACGATTCACCAGCAGGACGTATTTTACGTAGACCAGCGTCGACAATTCCGAAACTCAGTATTGAATACGGCAGAAGGAACTCTGATATTGTACTTACACATGCTAATGCTTCCCCACTATCTTTTGTAAGACTTAATATATACAGGACTTTATTGTATATATCTGATAATAAAAGATATCCAGCACTAAGATCTAAACCCGCTTTTAGCACCGGTAGTTTATTGGTAGAAGGTGTCGATGTAAATTTAATAGTTTGCAAACAGGACCATAATTCGCAAGACCACACTTTTAATTCTGTATTATTGTCACATCCAGTTATGGCAAACCTCCAGAATTGAACACTGTAGAACAAAATGTAATTAAAATGATCATCTTATTTTAATAACAAAATTAATTCAATAATATTTTATTTAAGGATTGCTTACTCAGGCTGGTATGTTTTATGATCATCTAGAAAGAATAAGCAGGAAATAGGTCGTCCATCATGTGGTTTCCATTGATGTAAGCAACGTGGTTGTGCTTGATTACCATGAGAATTGCCATGCAAATAAACTTGAAAGAATTTGACTTCCCCATCAAAACTAGCTGTGGCCAAAGCTGTTCCATCTGGACTGAATGTTGCTTCTACAATTGTGTCAGAGTGTTGGTCGATTTCCAACATGCCCCCATTTTCCTTTACAGCTGGATTACTTGCCTATCATTTAATCAAACATTTTGATACTTTGTTCATTTTGTATAGATTTTATAATCTGTAAGTAAGGTACACATTCACCTCTACTAATCTAAATCTTGATGCAACAGTATTAACGGACCACAACTCTACTTTGGAACCACGTGTTAAAACTAAGAGCTTTGATACTTCATCCCCATCAGATGGTACATCTTCAGGAATATAGGGACACCATATCACACGATGGCTGGTAGCAGGTATATCTTCTGCATCTACTTGCAGTAATAAACTACATAGCAATTCAGATGGTGTTGATTCAATGGTATGTATAAAAAGGTTTCCCAAATAGTCAACACATGCTAAAATTGCATTTGAAACATGTGCAAAAGCCAAATCTTGTATTGGTGCTCTCATTCCTCTTAATAGAGCTCTTTGTTCCAATTCTTTGTACACAACTCTCACCATACCTCCTCCATTACCAACTAAATAATGTTATTTTCTTAAATTTAAAAGGCAATCAAATGTTTGTAACATAAATTTAAATGTAGGTTACCTTTTATGCCATAAGCTAAATATTTCCCAGACATATGAACTGCCAATAACTGGCCTGGATAAAAGTTATGTTCCCATGTAAAATCAACAATATTTTTTAATTTCACCTTTGAACTCCCATGATTATGATCTCCTGGTGAAGGAATAACAGAAACATTGGCACTATATAATTCAACTGAATGTTGGTCTTCTTGTCCATTGAATTCTCTAAACAAAAAATATAATCTTTAATGTAATTCTTACTAGATATGCACATAAAAAAGGAATAAAAATTGAAGTGAATGAAAGTCTAATAAAGAAAATTGTAAGTAAACATAAAAAATACAAAGTTTACAATTTTCATTTTTATCACGTTTACACGGTATAATATAAAAACAGACAAACATTTTTCAATATCGAATATTATAAGTGGAGAAATATAAAAGTATATAAAAATTATATATGAAAATTTTGCCGAAACAATTGAAGTAAAGCGAAACTTTAATAAATGCTTACACTGTTTGCTGATACTGCACATGCCGTAGGTTATCCTCTCCCGTTTTGATCATTTTGCCAAAAGCTGTTGCGTATCCTAAAAAACCGGTTAATGTTAATATAATATTCACGATAAGCGTGCCGCAATTCAGATGATTCTAACCCCAGCCGGTGGCACGCCTGATAATGATATTTTGTCGGTTTTACCTTTTATGCATATATTTGCCGGATTGCGGAAGCGTTACTTGATGATGTGCTTGCTATTTTAATAAACCATATGTGAATTATCGTTTCATTGATGCGAACGAATAAAGTGTCTCATGAACATAGTTCAATGAAATTATCAAAAACGAAACGTCAGGCAGCCATCGGCCACTTGTCAGGAAAACGAACCGGAAGTGCAACGGTGGTATTTTATACATTACGCGCTATGTGGCGCTTTGCGCGATTTTAATTTTAAGAATTTCAACTACTATGTACTTAATTATATCTCGTATTATATGGACAACAGCGGATTTCTTTGCAGTCTTCCTCATTGGCATGCATTAACAAGTCATGTCTACTGAGACAGTCTTTTTTCAAGAGTTATGCTTTTAATGATCAACAACCTCGATTGTTTCTTATAAATACTTCATTAATTGATATATCTACATTTTATTCATTCAGTATTGACTATGTTTTATATAGCATTTGCTAGATTTAGATATTTTATGTACTGTACATTCATCATGAGATTTAGTAGTAATCAATCTACATAGAATAGTTTTTTTTTTATTTAAACGGACACTGGCAGGGAATCCTGTATCGTAATTTACACTTTATTTCGTATAATACACTATAATAGACAGGCTTTTGTTTTCATACGTGACTATCTTTTGGAAAATGGCAGTAGTGCTCAAACGTACGTAGACCCAAGAAAAGTGGCAGTAAATTTGTCTAATTCGAATACCATTGAATCGTGTTTAATGATTACTAATTTCGGTTTATCCATGTTTTCTTTAACCCTTTTCGTTTACTTCGAATTCCTCCGATTACCAGAACTTGCAAGAAAGTTACAGGAAAAGAGAAACGTACGATGTGTTTTCCTTTCAATCTCGAAAATAAACGTTGCTACGTTAGCAATGTCAAAATATTATTATTTAAATAATAAAATTTCTCTACTCAGTGGACAAATTATCGTTTTTAAATAAGTCTAAAATGTATTTTTTCGACAGGATTGAAGGTCGTGGAAATGCAATTTATATAACATAAGAGAATTTCACGTAATCGACAAAAGAGTCGATGTTTTTGTGCAACTTTTATTCTGTTACGTCCCATTCACACTTCGCGCGTTGGCACAGTCTTTCGCCTGTACCCGTGGTAATTTTTGTCGCGCCTAAGTATTTAGGCTAAAATATCCGAGGCACCGTAACCGTTTTCTCCCAGTGCTCTATCGTACGATCCGGCGTTACTTTACTACACGTGCTTTTAATCATCAACGAGAAATATCTGTTTCTCTGGTCATCAAAACGTTTTTATTTCTTCGCTGAAAAATAACAACGCTGTTCGATCAACTTATATTCATTTCACTATACTTAGTAAGAAAAAGAAAGGAATAATTGACGAGTGCTATTGTCAATCTCGATAGATGTCACCTTCATATACAGGGTGTTTCATTTGAAAATGTAAATTCCTACGTTTAGAAAGGTTACGTTGAGTAAAAAGATTACGAACTCTTACGAAATGTATTAATTTCTATTTTAAAACAAATCATCCTGTATCGCGTATACTAGTCAGAAATTAGAATAGAAGTATTATTTGATCGCGAGGAAACCGATATTCCGCGTCAAGGGTTAAAAAGTTCGTTACTGTTTCAGGTAATCGTTTTACGGTTTCTCACGCTGCTGTGCACGGGAAATATACTTCTTTTCTTTTCTCATTGATTTTTCTTTCTTCTTCTTTGTTCTTTTCTTTTTTTTCGATTTTTGGGTCTTTTCTTTATATCATAACATTATACAATGACAAGCACACTGAGACACTGCGCCAATCCAATAGAAAAACAATATTTTGTAATTATTGTGCCGATAGTATTCACAGATTCGCGACGAAGGAACGCGACGATGTACGGTTCGTGATCCGCTTGAACATTAGTTTCACCACGGATCGATAATTCTCTCGTACCTCCTTCGTCCGATTTCTCGCTAACGAATAACGACTTAACGATTAAGACCTTAATGGTTGTATCATTATATGTAAGCGTAATATTTCGATTCGTCTAACAAGAGCAACTATATTTATATTGTATAGTCGATCGTATAATCGCTAAGGGAAATATGCGTATATAACGATTGTAAAGGGTAAACGATCATTATCCGCGCGACGAAGAAATCGTATATCAATTTCTCTACGTAAAATGATCGAGAAATACATGCTTGAAAATATTGACTGGTTTAAACGCTTGCCTATGGAACGGTTTTCTTTCTTTTTCTTTTTTTTTTTTCCTTTTCTTTTCACGGAAATTCGTTTCAGGCGTTACAGTTTGCGTTCGTTCACGAGCAAACGGATACAAACTTGTCAATTCAAAGAGAATTTTCTTTATATAAAAAAGAAGGAAAAAAAGAAGGAAATTCAGGTCCTCTTAGCACGATAAAATCTAACGAATTCTAAGGAAAAAACGTACACGAGGCTAATGGTCATTATTACTGCTACAAAGATAAAATTTAGGATTATTTTGTATCGTTACATGGATTCTCGACGATATGATGGTCCCTGCGGGATGTTATTCGGTGTCGTACGCTTTTCATACAAAAGCATGAGATACGCGTGAAACGTGGTACGAGAGCGAAGTAGATACAAGATTACAGAGTAGTGTGTGTGAATGGACTTTGGCGGTGATCTCGCCGTTGCGTGAAAAATTTCTCATTTGTTCATTTTATTCTCCGCGAATCGATCGAAGCATGCTGCAGCAATTTGTTGCGAAAATACAGTAAAATTCGTTTCGATCTCTGTTAAAATTGACATTTCGGAATAACGCGACTGACGAGTGCTCAGAAATGAACGCGACAATCGAACGAACAATTAGTCAACTCATACAAAATGCAAACCTATTTATCTACTTCTATCATCGGACGGAAGATTTGAAAAATGCTTCTGAGAAGGAAAAAAATCATCAAAAAATTTCTGTGATCCGTTGACGTTACCGATAATACTAAAGTGTTACATAGAAAATAAATAATAAAACATGGTATCTCGGAGCACTCGTTGGAACGAGGCTATGAAAGCTATAAAATGTATAGAAGCGTTCGTAAAGGTAATGAGAAAATGCGTGCTGATACAGTCCGTAGAAGAATCCTACGAAAAATCTTGTAAATTCCATATCGCAATACTGATCGTTATATTTAACACGTTGGCTGAGTCGATTTTTGATTAAACTTCGTAATACATTATATCTACGTCTGTTCTATACTTATCTAGCAATACAATATTTAGTATACATGATCCATTTCTATGTCTTAACAATTTCGTGGCGCGTTCACACGCGCGCAATCCACAAAAGCGTTAACATTGTCAATGTGTCGATTTAAGAATGGCCAACGTGTGAAAGGCGATAATAAATTAAGGAAACAAGCTTAACTTACTAACAATAAGCTATACACTGGCACCAAATCGAAAGTATACGCATAATTTTTCGTCATTTCTGTATTTATACGGCGATTCATACGAAAGACAAACGCGCGGAACAACTTAAATCTTTTATACGACGTTATTTCACAGTCGCGCTCTGTCTGCTGATATGCTTACGATATATTGCTCCGGCTCGAGAGCCATTGAATAAATAAATAGTTTCGGACGAATGAATAAATAAATAAATAAATAAACCAATCGATCATGATTTATCGCCTAAGCAGTTTACGACTAAGCTTCCGTACAAAATCCCTAATGTTAAGAGAGGAAAGTAGATCTTTGATTGTTGGACGGAGTCGTGCAAAAAAGAGGAGCGATCTGAATTATTTTCATGCGCCGTTCGATAAAATTTTTTATAAAAGTAAATATAGTTGTAAGACTGGTCGAGGATACACAGATCAGAAGACAACGAATAAAATATAAAATAACATACAACAACTGTGTATGTATATATATATGGTGTTCAGATACCTTAGGTATTAAATTACAAGGGTGATACCTGAAGTCATTCTAAGTTACAAATCAAGAGTTAATTAGTTATTAACAATTAAAATCTGCAACATGCCTTTGAGAATTTTTACGAGTAGGCAGGTTTAACGTCGTTCTACGATTCACATTGGATCTTTCTTCGCTTGGCACGGCACTGACCTACCCTTTGCGCGGCCGCCTTACCCAGGCTGGCGTACGAAAATTGCCCGCTTCAGGCGCAGAGTTTAAATTTTAATAACTAATTAGCGAAGTCTCGGACGCAATATCGTTACCCTTGATTTTCTTCTTAGAATGGCTTCGTGAATTACCTTTCCAATTTAGTAATTAAGCTGGCCAAACAACTTGTATACATATATACGTAAATACTCAACGTTTAATAAATATAAAACTTAGTTTTATATTTTTCACTCCTATTAACAAATATTATTCATCTACGAGAAGTGATCTGTTTATCCTCGAGTATCCTAGTTATAGTTTATTTCTTGGAGAAACGAAACCCTTACGATACTTCTCTACGTATTGTACGAGGAAAAAAAAATAACGATTAAAGAAGTCATCGTTAATATTATCTAGATAACATTACTTACGAGATTATTTCTCTTTTTGCATGATACCGTACAATCCGTCGTCGTGTCGGTATATATAATTTATATACGCACGATTGCGATAGTACAGGCTTGTACTTTGCATATTTAAAAGTGGTAGGCTCAAGCCACGGATTCGAGAGAAACAACGGAAGAGAAAAATATTCGTCGGCTTCGTCTCAGCAATAATATACAAAACGATGGAAATTTTTACCCACGGTAATCGAGAGCTCCCTCAAAGCACCGATGACCGTACGAGCCTACCGCTGATCCTAACTCTAAGACGAACGATGCTTTGTTATTATTCTCAAAAAATACTGTACACAAGAATACCTAAGTTACGTCGAAGCTCGTTCCACGCGCTCGAACGAGCACTGAAGCTGTATTTTAAGTACGACCGAATTGATACGCTTCCTTTTCTTTCACCTTTTTAATCAACACAGAATTAAAACAGGCGATACGACGTTGATGTATTACGTTCCGACATGGGAAACCGGGTTGTTCACTTCGATTCCTCGGTTCTGTTCTTTGGTAACGTCGAAGTTCACCTCTTTAAGAAACGAAAAAAGCCTCGACCCTTCTCTGGTGGAGGTGCCATCAACATCGGTACTTGATTTTTATGCGTTATGTGAATCTGAAACATGAAAACCGTGCATTGGACATTTTTAATATGTTCGATATTTAAAAAATTTCTTCTCGTTAAACGTTCAAGGAAAACAACTCACAGTGCATGGACCCTGCATCCACGGTTCACCGTCGATTTGCATAGGAAAACGCTTGCTGGTGGTAATGGTGACGCTGCTACACTGAGCCAATCTCCTCCCAGAATGACGAAGTCCTGTTTTCACTTGACCCATATGTAAACAATTCTCTAAACCGATCACCTCTATGAGATTGTCTCCAATATCTACAACCACACCAATTGTTCTTCGTTTATTCTCCGAATTTCATCGAACAATCGTTGGAATATAGTTCAAAATAGGCGCTTGCCTTGTATCGCAGCTGTGAGATCTACAGAATTAAAGCTACTTGTGCTAAGTTCTTTGTCCGGTCGTTTCTTCCGTTTTCCAAGACGATGTCTTGCGTGGTGTTCACCCCAGAGATTCGAGCCTCCGTGAGTGAAAGGAATGTTCAATAATGCGACTCCTTGGAGAGAAGGGCCGTGAGCTAGATCCAACGGAGTACCATCACACTAAAAAAGAAACCAAAAAACGAAGAAATATAATCACCACCATTGTACAAACATCACGAATTAAAAAAAGGAAATAATTCACGTACAATGATCTCGAGATCCTCGTGAAGATTCTTACAGCTGGCAGCAAATTGCTCGGTGGTCGCGTACTCGAAGTACCAAAGCTTGTTCTTCATTCTACTATTAAACTTCTCAGGATTCTTCTCTCTCTCCATATGAAACTTCACACAGATCGCTGCATCCACGCCCACAGAGAAGTAATTATTAATTATATTGTACGGTATACTATCTTGATTCGGTTTCTTCTCGTCCTTCTGGTCCAACACTTCTATCTGCCAGCGATCCATCATCACGGGCGTTGCTTTTTCTATTTTCTAAAAAATCATTTTACAAAACAACACCGAGCGTAACGAAATTGTTCGAGCGAAACTTTCGTCGTAAAAGATTTACATACTTTAAGAACTTTGTGAATAGCTTCTCCCTCGTAACCACCACCCCATCGCAAACATCTTGCAAGATCGTTACCCGTACCCAATGGTATCACACCGACAGCAGGTTGATGTTCGAACTGAACACGATCTACGATTAAAAAAGAACGTTATCTACAGAATCGTATGAACAGAATATCCAAGGCTAATTTATATACAATTAATTGTACCCATAGTTTCCAGGACCCAACCAACGGTACCGTCGCCACCGCAACAGATCACCTTAAAGTTCTCCACGTCCTTGAACATCTGCAAACCCTGCATAGGTCCGCCCACGGCCAGATTATGAACTTGGCGCGGGTTCAAGATGTATTGGAACTTCCTCAACATCCGTTCACCTTGCCTCCCGCCGGATTTCGGATTTATGAAGACCAGCAGCGGCATACAATCGGGCGGCAGTGTTATTTGAAAGGACATGGCCGGCTGTTGATTGGTAGCGGTACCAGACGTTAGAAATCCGCTCTGTTGATATATTCGAAATCTTGAATTAGAATCTCTGGTTGTCGCGTCTGGCACGTTGCTCGATCATTCATATTGTTTCCTACTTACAGTGCTCACCGTCGACGACTCCTGCCCCTGTTTACTCTTGCTGTCCCTTTTGCTATCCCTCGACAACGATCTCTGCCTGTCCAAAACGACCGGACAAATCGCCGTCGGTGGAAGGATGTGAATAGCGTAATCGCCTAGCGTGCACTCTGTTCTCACTTGGGAGACGCATCTGTTGTGCAGCTGGAAGAAATTGTTTCTGTGAGGATGTATACGCTTACTTGGAATATTGCTATCATTCAGGATTTTAAGTTCTCCTGGAAGAACACAGAGAGAGAGAGAGAGAGAGAGACGGTAACGATACGAAGAGAAAGAGATTACTCACAGTCAGTTGACACCATCTGCAGTGTAAGCCGGTGATACCGTTGTAACTCTTGATGGTCTTTCTACACTTGGAACATTTTCCATGACAATTACCCTCCACCCAATGGTGAGCCATCGTTTGCGAGGTCTTCTTGCTCTTCACATAGGTTGCTATGCAAGAGGCTGGAGCTCTTTGAACGCATCTCTCGTGTACCGTGTACTTGCAGACTGTGGAAAAAGAGTTGTCAGTTTTGACGTGAATGTAGGAAGGAATCATAGCTATGCTTAACCGTTTGTGTACCACGGGTTATTGCAGAAATCTGATCGAAAAATGCCACGCTTCTTTCATTTGATGTCGAAAAATTGTAAAAATTTTCTGTTTCGAAATACCAAGAAAGAAAGGCAAAATTGATTATGTGCAGGATTTTTGTTCAATTTTTTATTAAAAAATAGATTACAGTAGACTGTCGTGTAACGCGTTGTATGAATTCACGTTACAGGAGTAAAGTAGCACAAGATAAAGTATCACGTTTGGAATGATTATTGCCAACTTTTATCGTCTATGTTTTATTAAATAGGACAGTTTTTTGAAACAAAGTGACATATATACGGTTTAAAAACAAAACGTATTATCAATGTTTCGAATCACTGAGCATTGCAATTTCCAGAAAAAAGTCAGCGACTTTGAGAAGTTTTTATCGTTCGAATCAATTGATACGAGATAAATCGATAAATGTAGAATTGAGATAAACTTCGAATCTATGAAAAATTAGCAGCAGCTTTAATATTGATGAAAAGTGGGAGGTGATTCCAAACTTTTTGCCGGTAGTGTATGTAATAAAGAAACAGTCAAGAAAAAACAGAAACAATTACGAAACAGAAGAAGTCGATAACGATGAAGAAAAGAGTGTAATGCTCAACTGAAGCAGATTTAATTTTTAAATGCTGGGAATTCCTTAATTTTCCTGAAAGCAGTAGTCGCGATATCTTTGGCGCGTTACACGGCAGTTTACTGTATAGGAAATAGAATAAAATTTGGCCCTATACGGTGGCACTTTTCGATGTCTGCTCATGATACATCTTTTTGCTCGATAAACGACATATAGCCGACGAAATTGCTCCTTCTTTCGTCGCAGATTACCAAAAGGACAGAAAGGAAAATACGAGAGGAAGAAGAAGAAGAAGAAAAAGCTCATCGGATGAAAATGTTTTTTAAGAAAACAACCGCGACGGAAGAGACATCAAAGAAGCTTCTACGATGATACTTACAAACACAACAAAGACCCTTCTTGCCGAGACCAACTAGCATATTCAAACAGAGATTGCAGTAGGCGGGCTTGCTAAAGTGTTTTAGCCTCCAGAGATGGTTGCCGTCCTCTTTCACGTGAGAATCCAGGCCCAGAAGAACCAGCAACGGTATCGTCGTCAAACCACCCCTTTTCCACTCTTCCAGAGACACCGTACCATCCGCGTCGTAGTCTATTTCTATCATCATGTCTTGCAGTATCTATAAATATCGAGGTTTTACATCCGGATATCGCTCGTCAATTTTCTTCGTCTCTTCTTCGCCGTGTAAACAACGAAACTTTCGATTTTACAGTATCTTCTTCTCTCGGAGGGATCGCGTGATTCTTTTTTCCTATTTGCCAAGTTCCAGACATTCCTTACCCTCGGAGAAAATTTCTCCTCGTAAAGTCGAAAGTTTCACGACGTTATTTCCTACAGTTAGATGTTCTTCTTTTCTCTTCAGAGTGAAGCAAGCATTTTTAACAGAATTTCTTTTCTCTCTCGGTTTGTCTAAGAAATAGTTTTAATAGTCACACTAGTGCACGGTAGTCGATAAGTATCAGTTTTTGAGTAGAATTTATGGGAAGAGAGGGATGTTGGGGTGGTTAGAAGATGTGTAGGTGGTTGTAACGTTTGCTTAAGGAGAAATGTCATTGATATTCGAACTCACCGGTTTCAATTCTGTGACGTCCCATCCGAGATACTCCGCGACGTTCATCATCTGATTGACAATGCAGTCCATCTCCTAGGGACACGTGATAATGATATTAAACGCGTGGTTACGATAGATAAGTCGTACTCCAATCGATTTATTTCACTTCGCGTTCGTATTCAATTTCTAACGACTGAATAATAGCGTTGTACACGCTGGAGGAACTGACGCTTCGAAACGGAAGCGAATTGTGTCGAAAAATGTATCAGGTTGGTGCAAACGAAGTTACTTCGACGAAGAAGTTATTTCGGAATGAAGACACTGTGAAAGCTGCATTCGAAGATTAATAATTTTTATAAATCTGGAATAACGAGACTAGTTAATCATTGACAGAAGTGTATATAGGACACAATGTATCTAGAGTTTCATTAAAAAAATACTTTAAAGACACAAAATTAGTTGCAATTCTTAAATTTCTTCTCGCTCAAAAAATCGGAATGGAACAAACTTCACAGACAAAGTCGCAGCTTGAAAAAAAAAAAGGAAGTAAAAGGAACCGGAAGCCCTATTTCTGCTCGATTTACTCACGTTGGTATCAAGAACGCCGTTTCCATCTGTGTCGTAGAGCCGGAACATGACTGAAAAAAAAAAAGAAGAGGACGGCAAATGAATTAATCGCGTGGAAATTGGCGTGCAACAAGTTGCAGTGGGTGTGCAAGCTCGAGTGCGCTTGTACAAGTGCGAGCTTGGATCGTCGAGAGAGAGAGAGAGAGAAGAGTGACTGACGTTGGACACGCGAATCTGAATATTTTAAGAAACTCTCGGTGTGCGTGTGTATATTCTCGTGTGATCGTTCTGTCGATTTCGTTCGCGTGCAACTGAAACCTATAGAGACGTTTCAATAGGATAAATTTTCGACTTGTTTAATTCACTGTGATTGAACGTCGAAGAGATAAAGAAAAAAAGAAGAAGTTGGTTCCCTGGGGTTAGAAAATATATCCAAGGTTCACTTTCCACGGGGTGTAATTAGCTTTGATCGATATGAAAGTGAATGATTACTCACACTCCAATTTATCTTCTGGCCTGCCAGCCTCCAGGAGGGAAAGATAGCACACGATATCCTTGAGGCTGACTTTAACCGAGTGAACGTCTATCGTGCTCTGCTTTCTGACTAGGTGCCTCATCTCTGTGAATCGAAGAACAACGAATAAATGTATCGATCGAATTTTCTTTCTTTGAAATTTTATCTTTTTATTTTAGTGTTGGTTTGTTACTCTGTTTTTTTTTTTGATTAGGTGTCTCATCTCTGTGAATCGGAGAACAACGAATAAGTGCATCGATCGAATTTTCTTTCTCTGAAATTTTATCTTCCTAATATTTTAGTATCACTTTGGTACTGAAGAAATGTATCGATCGACTTTTCTTCCTCTAAAATTTTATCTTCCTAATATTTTAGTATCACTTTGGTACTGAAGAAATGTATCGATCGACTTTTCTTCCTCTGAAATTTTATCTTCCTAATATTTTAGTATCACTTTGGTACTGAAGAAATGTATCGATCGACTTTTCTTCCTCTGAAATTTTATCTTCCTAATATTTTAGTATCACTTTGGTACTGAAGAAATGTATCGATCGACTTTTCTTCCTCTAAAATTTTATCTTCCTAATATTTTAGTATCACTTTGGTACTGAAGAAATGTATCGATCGACTTTTCTTCCTCTAAAATTTTATCTTCCTAATATTTTAGTATCACTTTGGTACTGAAGAAATGTATCGATCGACTTTTCTTCCTCTGAATTTTTATCCTCCTAATATTTTAGTATCACTTTGGTACTGAAGAAATGTATCGATCGACTTTTCTTCCTCTGAAATTTTATCTTCCTAATATTTTAGTATCACTTTGGTACTGAAGAAATGTATCGATCGACTTTCCTTCCTCTAAAATTTTATCTTCCTAATATTTTAGTATCACTTTGGTACTGAAGAAATGTATCGATCGACTTTTCTTCCTCTGAATTTTTATCCTCCTAATATTTTAATATCACTTTGTTACTCTGCTTTCCGGTCAGGTGTCTGATCACTGTGAATCGGAGAACAACGAATAAATGCGTCAATTCGATTTTCTTCCCTCTAAAATTTTCTCGCTTGGATATTTCTCAGGAAAAAGAATTTCCTTCTTCATCAATTCCTTTCACGTTAGACCAAAAGAAGAGAGATCGTCTTGCACAACCATTACCGCCGAATCTCTCAGAATCTCGCTACGCGAAATTCGTTCGATCGGCTTTTCCAGGAAAAGTTGTAACACTTTCTTCACGCGGCGTTCGAGTTAGAGAAAAGCCCCGATCGGATATTATTTTTAGGTTACAACGAAACGGCTTTCGTCAGCCGTGTCTCTAAGAGTCTCGAACCAAGGAGAGAACCTGTTGCTTCGCACAGGGATTTTAGGAGAGCCAACTATCGATGCATGCACACGAGTACCGCTCTAATTATAACGATCGAGTGTTGCACGTGCAACGAAGCCGCTTTTGATAGACGCTACGCGACGAATATTCTTGGAACAGGATTCGTAAGCACTGGTTTGATGTTGTATCCCGTCATTTCGTTGCGATAGGTAAGCAATCTCCCTGTCGAACGATCAAAAACGTAATAAACACATCGAAATCTCTCAAACACACTCGCTGTAAGTTGCCTTACACACTCTTTGCATTGTATTGCACAATCTTTCACTTTGATTTTCTTGCAATTCTCGTTGAAAGAAGAAATGAAAAAAATTCTCGAATATCGGTGAAAACGAGTATACAATCTGTAGAATCGCGCGAACGTCTCAGGATGACTAAATTAAACGAGCGAAGACGCGATTGTCTGGCTCGCGTGGCAAGAGTCTGTTGTCCCCTGGTAAAAATAGTCCCGAATTGGAGACGAAACGAAGCTTCACGACATCGATATTGTCCCTGAAACTCCCTCCTCGTGAGTTTACGAGTCCCTGGATACGCAAGCACCTGAGGTGTTACCTCCTCTGCTGAGGGGAGAGAAGAGAGAGAGAGTGAAGAAAAAATAGAGAAGAGGAGAGAGAGAGAGTGAAGACAAAGTAGAGAAGAGAAGAAAAGAGAGAGTGAAGAAAAGATGGAGAAGAGAAGGAGAGAGAGAGTGAAGAAAAAATAGAGAAGAGGAGAGAGAGAATGAAGACAAAATAGAGAAGAGAAGAAAAGAGAGAGAGTGAAGAAAAAATAGAGAAGAGGAGAGAAAGAGTGAAGACAAAGTAGAGAAGAGAAGAAAAGAGAGAGTGAAGAAAAGATGGAGAAGAGAAGAAAAGAGAGAGTGAAGAAAAGATGGAGAAGAGAAGGAGTGAAAGAGTGAAGAAAAAATAGAGAAGAGGAGAGAGAGAGTGAAGAAAAAACAGAGAAGAGAAGAAAAGAGAGAGTGAAGAAAAAACAGAGAAGAGAAGAAAAGAGAGAGTGAAGAAAAGATGGAGAGGAGAAGGAGAGAAAGAGTGAAGGAAAGAGAGTCTGAAGAAAAACAGAGAAGAGAAGAAAAGAGAGACTGAAGAAATACAGAAAAGAGAAGAAAAGAGAGACTGAAGAAAAAATGAAGAAGAGACGGAGAGAGAGAGAGAGAGAGAGCATGAAGAAAAAATACAGAAGAAAAGGAGAGACAGAGAAAAAAAGGAAGGTCGATAATGGCGACTGGTCACGAGGGAAATAAAGCCGGTCGATCAATCGTGGAAGAAGAACGATTTATCTTTTGTTACGGGGCGCAACAACGTTGAAACAAATTCACCCGACTATTCTATTACTCTCAGGCGGTCCATTCTGCCTGGTTCGTGATTTCTCGATGTGCGAGATGACGATTTATCTCGGCTGGCGATTCCGTGTGACGCACGGAACTGATTCGACCGCGGAAAATCATCTTCCTCTCTTGAGAAAACATTCTGCTAGGAGAGCTTCATTCTCTGGCTGCCGTGTATTCGGGGAGCTTGCTTGCTTGCTTTTCTTCAACGTTCTACCTACATCATGCTACGAGATTACGCGAGCTTGTAAAATTGATACGTATTAGAAGATACACTATGTTCGAACAATGTTCCGACAACGTTTACAAGATAGAATCAACGATGGATACCGTAAACTTGGCGGTTTCGTGGTCTGGTTCTTGAATGGCCTCGAGTGGCAAACAGTTTGCTTCTGACCACGGTCTATGATAGATGTAAAACAACGTTGTCACACTCCACCCGACAAATATTGATATTTAACCCGATCACTGCCACGTTGGTTACCTGTGACCGAAGATTGTTTCCTCGATGGGGTCATCACTGACCGGAGGGCCTCGAACGTTTACAACAATTATAATATCGTCAACTAAAAATTTCGAACGTGATAGAATTAAGAAAAATAATAAGAATACAGCGTAATAAAGCATAATACAATACTAAAATTTTGTCAACGTGTCAACTATTGAAAATTTAGTACACATGTATACTGCAAGTACCACCTTACGTCTCGCATGCGAAGCCATTATGGTAGCGGAAGCTCCGTTGCAGATTCGCGGAGAGACACAAAGGGAACTATCCCACGCGATTAATTATTCTTTTCGTAGAAACAAACTTCGCCGGAACAAATTCATCGATCACTATCTCATACTCTACTAGTAGTAGTAGTAGTTTCAAAAGCGCCGTCTGCAATTTATTCGACGCAGCGTCGCGGCGTCCAGCGAGCGAGATCACTGCGAACAATTAATTTAATTGAAACCGTCGATGCTCGCCGGATGACACGATTGATTGCTTCGCCGCGTAATGAATAACCGGACGGCGGCAACTTATTCCGCGTTATTTCCGCCGAGATGAAATCTCTCCTCCGTTCGGTGGAATCGCGTTGCATTGTTTCGTTTTCGTTGGATTCAGTTTTTTTTTTTTTTTTTTTTTTTTTGTACAGAATGATAGTTAGGTGTACGTTAGTTTGTACAGTGTCGAGAGGAAAGTAGGTTGTTTTTCTCGGAGGTGGGAGCGTCGTTCTCGTTTTGGTAAAAGATCTCGAAATTTCGGGACGAGAATTATATTGGGAAAGTCGCGACGAGTGGAGGTGACGCAAGTGTTCTACGTTAACGTGGAAATTCGTGACGTTTAATTTTCGGGTAGGTAGAATAGGAGATCTTCTGTTTCGCGAAATTGATGAAATTCGGATCGTTGTTAGATTCGGTTTAATTGCTTTTTACCGGTGATCTCCTGAGATTCTCCTGTCTTTTGTTTTTTTTAATAAAAAGGTTGGTCTCGTTTTATCATACGATTTTGAATCACACGATCTTCCTTAGTAGTGCATAATTATTTAATCTTCGTTATTGACTTGTCAATTTGTACCATAGATTCATGTTTCATTTTTTAATAAAAATACAGGAGACTTTTACCACACGATCTTTGACCAATTTATCGTTTTATATTTACGAGTAAAAACGTGGTCTCGTTTTATCACATCCTCCTCCTTAATAGTGCATAATTATTAAACTTGATAATTCCCAAATTTTTCAATTTATATCACAGATTCGATTTTTAATTTTCACAAAAATTTAGTCTCGTTTTTCCATACGATTTTTGACCAATTAATCATTGTATATTTATAAGAAACAACCGCAATTCGTGTAAACCTCCATCGATTCACGCTCGAAATCACTTTTCTCACTTACCTTCTTTCAACAATGCACCTGGAACGTTCAGCAAGTGTATTCGATCGTTCTTCAACACCATACCGACGATGCGTTTCGAGATTTTCGCCGGAAATGAACGGCTAACGAGCACAGAAGCAATTAGAACGTTAAATCTACGCTGTTGCAGCCACTAATCGTTTGGAAAAAGCGCCGTCAATCACGGATCGACGATTATCATATACGCGAGGAAGAAACACGAGGATGGCACTTGTTGCTTCCCGCGTGACTCGGGAGACACTGAGAAAGTGTATCGAGACACAGCTTCAGGCCAGAAGAGTCTCCGTGTACATTCTCTCTCTAAGCATGATGTTATTTATACCGGATGATACCGGTTCACGTTATTTTGGGGATCGAACGAGCACGCAAGCCCATCGGCGAGCAGCGGGACAATCGAACGTTGAAAACGACATTTTCGAGGGACCACGGATGCCGGAGATATTGATCCACGCTTTTATTTGTCCTGTAATACGAGGCAGTAATAATTCGACACTTTC